GGGGGGGGGAATAAAAGGGAAATAGCAGAGCAACGGAGTATTGGTTCATCTGGGACTGGGATTGCTGGCAGGGAAAGAAAGAGAGAGGGAGAAGGAAGGAGTGAAAGAAGGAGATGGAAAGTGGGGAATGAGGAGTTTGGGGGAGAAACCTTCCTGTGGGGCTGGGGGTGTGCAATGCCACCAAAGGCACTGCAGCCCCTGCCCCTCGAGATGCCCCTGCAGTGTGACACCACCGCTGGGAGAACATAATGGAGCGTCAATTTGTGCCTCAATTCATTGCATTCATTCAGTTTTAAGGTGGGAAAAACGAAGAAGGAGGAAACAAGCCAAGGAGCACAGACAGCATCGCAGTGGGGTCGGTGCTGCTCTGCCCCACAGTGTGGGATCGGAGCCCATACACTCAGGGTTAGGTGCAGTGAACGTGCTTGGCTCAGTTTCCACCCAACGTTCTCCTCTGTGCTGGGATCTCCTTTTGCCAGCATCAGTTTTAATCACTTAAAACTCATTTTTCAACCAAAAAAAAAAAAAAAACACAGTTAAATCCTACAGCTAAAAAGGAAATTGCATTAATACAGATTGTTTTATTTAAAAAGAGGGAAAAAAAAAAAAAAAAAAAAAAGCCCAACCTTGACCCCTACTTCAAAAAAAAAAGCCATTAGGCTCTCACCCTCTGAAGGGCCGACAGGGCTACAGCTGAAGGCCGCCTGGTTTCTCAATGCTTTACTGTTCCTGTCCTGCCCGTGGAAATGCGTGAGGAGCGGCGGGGAACTGCAGGCACCCCGCAGAAAGGTGTGTAAATCTTTGCGTGTCTAAAGAAACTTTACCGGGCTGTGAGGATTGGGGAAAAGAAAACGCTTGGCCTCTTTTTTTTTTTTTCCCCCACTTTCCTTTGGAGCTCTGATCCCCTTTGATCGTTACAAAAAAAAATATATATGTATATATATATAAATAAAAAGGTCGTATTTCACCCAAAAAAATATCAGCCGTCAGAGGGCCCGAGGAAGTGCGAACCCGAGGGGGTTTTGCTGGTGATTATTCCCTCCGTTTAATTATTTAATGCTGCGGGTGGAATGAAAGACGTCGGCCCTGGACAAGCAGATGGGGCGGGGGGAGGAGTTGACCACGGGGCTGCCCCCCATCAGAACCCATTGTCACATCGGTGGTGGGACGCCGTGCTCCAGGGCCACGTTGTCCCTCCGGTGGCATCACCTCCGTGCTGGGAAGAGATGGTTTTAGTGGGAGAAAAGTGGGCTGAGGGGATGTACGACCAAGTGGGGCCGTGCACGGAGCCGGTGCCACCATCCCTGCGGTCACACAGCCGAGGGGACGCCGGGGCTGCAGCCTTGCAACGCAACCCCAGGGCCAAACATTGGGGCCAATAAACGTCAATAGCGGGAGGGAGGCGGGGGGCTGGGCACCCTGGGAGCCCCCTCACACACACAGCGGACTCGCAGATTGCCAAAATTTGCCTTCAGCCGCAATTTGCGGAGCTCCGGGAAGCCGCTGCCTTGTCAGGAAGATCAGATTTGGCAGCGCCGGATTGCATCGAAATGCGCGCCCCTCTCTGCTCGAAGGGAAAGAGCGCAAGGAAAGCTTTCGGCCAATGTTAAAACAGCTCCTCCGGGGGCCGGGATGGGTGGGAAAGGGTTCTGCGAGCTCGGAAATTGCGCGTGGAGCAGATAGAGGCGGTGAGAGGGGAGACGCGGGGTGTGGGATGGGGGGATGCGGGGATCCGAGGAGCGGTGCTCAGCCCCCCGCCGCTGCCCGTCGCCCCGCAGCCGGACACGCCGCCTCCTCCGTCCCTACGTACGCACACACCGACACACACACACCTCTAAATATCGAATTTTTAAAGAGGAAAACCTCCTTTTTCCCCTGCCCGGTGGCTGGTTTTCATTAGGGAGGTTTCTCTCTCTAACCCCTAGGGAAGCAGCCTATGAGTTCGTAACTGCGGTGCAGGACGTAATTATCTCATTAAGGGGAGAGAGCCAGGCTTCTCCCAGCGGAGCTGACCTCGCTCCGGGGTTGATGGGGGCCCGGAGGGTGGGATGTAGGTGGAGGGGTGGGCCCGGAGGGTCACCATTTGGGGTGACCCGTTCGCAGCCCCATTTGGAGTCGGGGAAGCGCAGCACTCCCCACGGAGCGCAGCCACTTACACTTGTTGAGAGAAGCACTTAAAGCGGGGCTGGAGGGGGGGGGATGCGCAGGGGGTGATTCCCCCCCCACCCCGGGGGTCGTTGTACCGGGGGGCGAGGGGCCGCCCCGCTCGGTGTAGGGGCGTTTGTTTGAACAGCTCCAGAGCAAAGAGCAGGGGAAGAAAGTTTGGGCTGGGAGCGTGGTTTTTTCCCCAGACGTCAGCACAAGGCGGAACAGGGGCTGGGGAGGGAGCCGGACTCGCAGGGCAGCCGGGATTTTTATTTTTATTTTATTATTATTATTATTATTATTATTATTTTATTATTATTTAGTGGGGATTGGAGAAGGGAAAGGGGCCGGGGAGCGGCCCGGCACCTCGGGGTGGGCTGCGGGCCGGTGGGGGTGGGAGCCATGGACTCGCCGCCAGCCTTCGCCATGGACAAACCGTTCGCCCCCAGCACCGTGCGCGTTCCGGAGCCGCCCGAAAACCCTCAGAGCCGGAAAAACTTCAGCGTGAGCCATCTCCTCGACCTGGAGGAGGTGGCTGCCGGGATGAACGGGGCCCCCCCCGCCGGCCCCCCACCCTCCGCCGGCGGTAAGGCCATGCCGGAGCCGTCGGGAGGCAGCAGCGGCAGCGAGGCGGCACCCCAGGACGGTGAGTACCGACGTCCCGGGATGGGCCCCCCCTTTACCCGCAGTCTCGGAGCCGGGCTGATCGCGGGGGACCAAGGGGTGCGGGGTCCCCCCGAGTTGGGATGGGGGCTGCTGTGGGGGCTTTGACCCCACCGTGGGTCGTGGGGGTGGATCTGAGATATCTGTGGGATCGGAGCCGCCGGAACGCCGAAAGTACCCGACGGGCGGGACGGGGGGACACAGCGCCGTGGGGACGGAGGGACGCGGGCACCGCACCGGCCGCCTCCCCGCAGCCACTGGGACAGGACGGTGCCGAGCTCCCGGTACGCCCCTGGGCTGCTTGGCCCTCCCGATGCTCCCCGCCCCGGTTCTCGGGATCCGAGAGCGGAGGCGGCTCGGTGGGACCGGTGGAAATGAAAGCTGCGGGTCCTCGCCGCTGGCACCGGAACACCGGCACGGAGCTGCCTTTGTCCGGGCGCTC